ACTTCTGACATCTGAAACAAACTTGATGTACGCGTTTTCTCAAGTCCATAGTTCACCCCAAGCGCTCTACAAGTCTACTTTATAACAATTATAAACTTAAAAAGTTATATTGCATAAATATTTGGACGACCCGAATTCTAACACAATTATTCCGAGATTGGCTATGATGTGTAACGTGAACGCGATACCACTGTGAAAAATATTTTGAAGACTAAACTCAGTGCAATACTAAAGCATAAACCTGATCATTAACGCCCCAAGACATCTGCACGTGTGTGCTGTTATTCGCTTTTATAGGCTTTATCTATTTAACGACCCTACTTAGGAAGCATACTGTGAGTAAACAAATGTTGTAATTTGTATATCTGCCCTTCCAGAAATATATTATTATTGTAAGTTTGTGTATGTTCTTGGAATCGCTGGAATATTTTCCTTATTGCGTAGATTGTTGGGTGATACCATAGAGTATGAAGAGGTGGATACCAGAGAGTAGGAAATATCGTTAATAAGCCGAAAGGTAAAGGCAAGGTTTAGTTTGATACTCCTGACCCAGAGAGGTTCTAATTTGAGTTGTTGACATCTTTGGTGATAGTCCTTGTTGTCAGAATATCCCAAAACAGCTTTGATGAACCTTCTTTGAACACCTTCAATTTTAACCAGGTCATTATGCCTGCAATTACTGTAAACTAAAATACCATATTCAATAATTAGTAAGATACATTTTCTGTATAACACTGATCACGATTCGATATTATTGAAGTTTATCATTATAAATACGATGAGCTTTCTAGCTCTGGATACTTGAGATGCAACGTGCTCGGAAAAGTTCAAACTGTTGCTATATCTCAAACCAAAGTCACGAACGGTGATAAGAGATTTCAGTGTATGTTTGTGTATAGCCAAATTTAGGCAAAGGAACTGATCAATGTGAATAAATCCACTTTTGTCAGCATTAGGTGGAGAATTAAACGAAACAGTCCATTCGTATAACTTGTTTATCTCGCCTTGGATTACCGTTGAAATATAGCTTTCTTTGTTGGGAGAAGAGAATGAATAAACCAATTTTAGGTCATCGGCAAAAAGGAAAGGTTTACCATACTGAAAGAGGAAACACACGTCATTGATAAAAAGGAGAAAGAGTAATGGACCAACCACACTTCTTTGTATAACCCCACTGGTTACACTGACAGGTCGAGAGTAGCAGGATCCAGATCGAACGATTTGGCTACCTTTTTCTAGAAAAGATTTGAGCCAAGATAAAAGCGGATTCTGTATGCCAAATGAAGAGAGCTTTAGGAAAGAGAGTTTGTGTGAGTGTCTGTCGAAAGCCTTGCTAAAATCGAGGCACAGAATTGTCACTGACTGACCAACATCTCTTCTCTGGGAAATTTTACCAGAAAATTCCAGGTGCGATGCGACGCATGAACGTTTAGTCACAAACCCATGTAAGGATGGGCCAATCAGACTAGCCGAAAATAAAAATGATAATAGCTGTTTGTGGATGTGTAGAACTATGGTCTACTATGATATTAGTACCGCCCTAATAATAGACCTAATCCTAAAATTGTAGATTTGTCATGATATAACTGACTAATGTATAAGATCTTACGTGGAAGTCACACCATCGACTACACCAACTCACAGTATCGTATCAATTACCAATATATGATGTAGAACAAGGTTAGGCTGGAGAAGGTACAATATACTTAATATGAATAGAAGATATAAGGTAACATTCAGATGGACCACGCCTGCATGGTCGAGCCACGACATCCGATCAACCCCAATTCATTCAGTTCCTTATTAGCGCCTTCTCCATCGTTAGGTATTCCTTCGCGTTAAATATTGAATGCCTATTTCCCGAGTAATCTCTTATTCTGCTTTGAGGATTGTGTAGTTATGGTCCAATGCCACTACAGATGTATTTCCATGGTTCTTGATAGCACGGAAATCAGGTTAATGGGCTTGTAGTTAGCAATATCACTAGGTGACCCCATTTTGAAACTACGGGTGATAAGAGATGTTTTCCATACAGATGGATAAGTTCGATATTCCACAGATAGGTTGAATTAATTTTGAATAGGTGTCTGGATGTCAACATTAAACATTTATTGATAGAGGTTTTAGTTTCAGTTTTGTAGCATTGCTAGAAATGCTGGCTGAATTGTTCACAAATAGTATCAGGATTTTCAACGATGCTTCCATTAACTATGAATGATTTAGTCGTGCCAAAAGAATTCGACCTCATATGGGATTTAAAAAGCCGAAGTGTTGATAAGTCTGGGTTATTTTTTATACAGGGCTTTGTTTTCTATATTCATAAAATACTTGCGTTTAGATGAATCATTTCTGTCAATTACGCTATGTATACTCTGAAGTGTATACACGTCACTGTAGCGGTGATTCAGTTTTCTCAGCTTTCTTAAAAAGTTTTAGAGACATTTTGGTCTCTTTTGGTGTTATAAGCCGCATGGCCAATAACTGGAGCACTGCAGTCAAGGCAATATATTGGATTGTGCTATAAATTGAAAAGCTCAGTGTCAATATTATCTGTGGTAAAATAAATTTTCCATGATAAACATCGAATAAAATTTTCAGTCCGTTTCGAGGTTTGTTGATCAAACTGTCTGCTCTGGTACATTATTTCAGCTTTAGAGTTCAAATGTATAGTATGTAAAGAATGAATAATACTAAATACAACTCATAAAATCTGATGACTGGTGTGCACTGAGATAGTCTATGTCGATTGTAAATAATAAATGAAATATGTTATTCCTCTTAGTCGGTTTTTGGACTTGTTGGACCAACTCACAAAATTTTAAGGTTCCAACTAACTTGTTACATCAACCTGGTACAGATGTCGAACCCCATGTAATGTTTGGCAGATCGAAATCACCTCCGATGATTCTAAATGTATGCGGTTGATGCGAAGCAGTGGAAAGTATGTTTGTTAGTAATCGATCGAAGTAAGTATCCACATGAGGTGGTCTGTATATGCACCCCATCAGCAGATAAGTTTACGATCCACAGTTTACGATAACCCAAGCGGAGTCGTTTATGGTATCAAGAGATTTATCCTCAAATTTGCACGCTTATATGTTCGAACGGACATAGATAACTGCACTGGCTCCTAATCCATGACACCTATCGGTCCGAAAGAAAACGTAGCTATCTACATGCAAGTAGTAATCGGACATGGATGATTTACACCACGTTTCTGTAATAAGTATAGTGGTTGGATTTACAAGGAATAAACAGGTTTTAAGGTGAGTAATTTTATTGGAAAGAGAGTGGGAAGTGAACGGAAGTATAAGAAACTAAGAGTTGTCATGGTGAGGCACATTAGTTGAATACTTACCGGTAATCTTTCTATCCCACCAACCACATGATATATGTATTTCCTTGCACTTACATCCTTAGTTTTTATACGCATCACACTATAAATATTGTAGGCACATAACGTGATAATTTTGCTTTGGTGTATTTCGTTAGTAGGAAGCTTTATTCATCTACAACGATGCATAACAATTGTGTCAGTTCCAGTCTTACCCGACGTTACAACTTTGAATCTCTCTAGCATCTATATTACATTTGATTCCTATCCAGATTTGGACCAAAAATAATGTGAATGTCCATTTTCATAGTTGTCTGTAATGGCTTGTCAAAATGTTTCGTAGCAGCATCAATTATGTTAGCGAATTATTTTCACTTACGTTTCCTTGTTTGCACTATGAGCGGAACCAATGACTTCTTCATGGAATTTTTTACAAATCTCAATTAATTTAACTGTACTATGAGGCACTCATGAAACTTGATGAGCATATTCGTCATACAGTCCATGCAAAGTTCCAACTATTTTTGAGGTAATGATGTTATTGGCTAATGATATAGGTCTTTTGAAAAGCTGTTTTCAAGATGTGTTTCGCTCAGTTGGCAAGGCGATTACAACCCAGCTGAGTAACTTACTACAGTGAAAATGGTATCTTTCGTAACATTTTTGATCTTGCCTGTAAATTGGCATGCCTCATGTAACAAACTGTTATTTGAGAATAAATTCTTCTGATTATTAACGTGAATGTTCATTTCTTCCAAACTTACGAACCGACAATTTAGTCTTCCACGCGTCGTCTTGGTTACAGAATTCTATTCTAAATGTATCTTCTCAACGTTTAAACCGCGTGAGGAAAGTATTTTCACTTTCTGGGTGATAGATGAATTTCGGGATGCTGCCAGCAACCGCATCACAAGATTTGCTTGAAGTAGCATGTGAACTCGAGTGGTGGAAGTTAAGCTGTTTAGTCAGACTCCAACAACCGCATTTGTGTATCAAGTTGTGCTTGCTGTTGTTGTAGTATTCGGTTGAGCTGGTCATCTGATATGGACATCTTGAATTTGTTTTCCCTTTTCCTCGTCGCCGTCGTTATAATCCTCTCTTACTACAACTCAACAATTCCTATTGCTTAGTATTCTCGACAAGGTTTTTTGAGCAAGGAAAGAGTTGATTCCTCAGTTATCTGAAAGGGTCTAACAGCTAGTATCGCAGAAATGTGATTATAAGAGCTACCATTAAGAGTACCCGTAAGATAGGACTTTTTGAGATTATCTAATAAGGACTCAGAATAAGCCAAATCTGATTTAGCTAGTAAATGTGAATATTCGTGAAAAATCTACGTTTTTTTTATTCGACATACAAAAAGAATCATCTTAGGAAAGCACGGCTATCGTAATTCAAATGCTCCTATAGGCTTTTCTGTATCTGGTTATTGATTTTTTTTACATATATTACAAATTTTTAGGTAGCCAATCTTAATCGATTCATGTTCCGTTCACAAGAAAGAGGTACTCAAAGGCACACGTTAATTACAGTAACTTCATTTGCGATCTTGAAACAGCACCACGAATAATGGTACACAGAACTGAAGAAATCGTGCCACCACTTTACTGTGTCAAAAGTCATATTGGACATAAGATACGAAGATTGTAGAGATTTAAGGTCGTTTATATTAGGCGACATTTCAAAGGGTTTTCTTCTTGGTTTATGTCTAATTGGTTGGTCAAGCATTGGATCACTTAAGCCGGTTGTAGTCCAGTTCATATGTGGGCTGTCCAGTGGATATGAGAATACCGACGGCACAAAGAATATATCGGAATAGTAATCAATGCTTCTACTATGACTACTCGAAATTCACTTCTGCCAAGGCTGAATTTTTTAAACGAAAACAAGATCGACAGGGCTTTTTACATGTTGAAAGTTACAGAAAAGAAGTTTTTCCGACTTTTAGATTTGTGGAATTATACCATGGCAGACTAAGCACTTCTGTTGCTGTTTTCATTCCACCAAATCGCTACACTACACAACCGTTTTCCCAGATATCAGAGCCAAATGAATGTTAGTTGTCATTATTTGTCTTAGTGTTGTTTTGATGGGTGTATTCCATACTGAAAACTGAGGGATGAGGCAGAAAGCTTGTTGAAGTTCTGAGGCTAAAAACTCCAAAATCTAAATTGTCCAAGTACTGTTTAGATATCGTTTAGTAAGCTGATGATAAACTAATAGATTTCTTCTGTTTCAACCTTTACTTTAATTGACATTAATTATATAAAACGGTGAGACTATAATTTATGGGCGACCTTTGAGCTAAGCTGGACTGACCTTGAGAGTGTTCACCTAATATCTATGACCAAATGAGGGTTTTAAACCTGTGTGAGGAACCAGAGTTGTTTTACAGTTGATGACTAACGTTAGAAATGAGATTTAGGGTTTTCATCACGAACTGGAACTAACTACAATGCCAAAACTATTTAACCAAATTGGATGAGTGAGCAAATATCCTGTACAATGCTTGAGAGAAAGCCAATGGGTAAAATTCCGTGAGATATTGATACGTTGGGCTCGTTCATTATCGTTATTTACTCAACTACAAAAAATCATATGTTAATAATTACTCACTAGTAAAATATCTTCTTTAAAATTCGTTCTACTTTGAACTTTGCTACTTATCTATGCATTCCCATCTGGTGTAAACAAATGATCTCCTTTGTAGGGTCACGCAATCCCCTTCAGTTTACTGGATATTGAAATATAGTTCTTTTAAACATTCACGGTGAGAGTAGCGGCTGACTATACCATTAATTCAGGTATTGCTGAGCCAAAATGTCTTGCCATGGTAAGGATTCTGTGGAGTAGGATAAGCAAAACACTATGACAACTTAAATCCGGTTTTAACATTAGAATGGTCAATAAACGCTGCAGTCTGCTTTAATTTCCATTTGTTGACCAATTTTGACTGCTCAGCTGCAACTTAGCCGTTCAGTCATTAAAATATAACTTTTTTCACTAGTTTGAATACCTTCTACCTAAATTGAGTTGGTTGCTTGATACTTAGTTGTTACAGGCTATAGCATTTTACTCTCACATGTAATATTACTATTATTGTTCCTGACCGATAATTTTAAAGAATTTAATGGTCTCATACTTTTCAATAGAAAGCGGGGAACAAGAATTTCAGGAAAGTGTTTCTTTTCAGCCGATTTATTTCCATTGTTACTGATACTTCCATTTCGATATTCAACTTTTTAATCTCATTTCGTCGTGCTGATATGTAGCAATTTTGGACGACGCACTTTCGACCCAGTTACACGTCTTTTCCTCAGATTACCAACATATTGCATCATTACCAGCTAGCTTACAGCTGTTAAACCTCGCAGAGAGGCATAGGTCGCTCACCAGCTTCCTCCATCGAACTCTGTCTTGAGTAATCCCTCCCAGTTGTTTCCAGTTGCTATTCATCTTCATGTCTGCTTCTAATTTCCAACGCAACATGTTCCTTGGATTTCTTCTTTTCCTTTTCCTTCAGGATTCCAAGTTAGAGCTTGTATCGTGTATATCCTATCCACCTCCATCGCGTTTGCCTATTTTACCCTTCAGCTGTAAGCTGATTTGTTCTCTTCTACAGTAGGCTGTTGCTGATGTTATCCAGCCATTGGATCTGAACTATCTTGCGTAGACGATTATTTACAGATACTTGTACTTTCTTGCTGATGGTTGTGGTAGCTCTCTAAGTTTCAGCTCCGTTCAGTAGAACTGTCTTGAAGTTCGTACTGAAACTTCTGACTTTGATATTGGTTGACAGTTGTTTTGAGTTGTATATGCTCTTCAACTGTAGAAATGACGCTCTTATCCGTGTCCATCGATGATACTGTTCTGGTACGTGGAGGTTTCCATCCGTACCAAAGCTTTTCTATCAAGTGTGACTGAGTTGGTGTTTTCCGAGTTTTGTTTTAGGATTTTGGTTTTTCCTTGGTGTATGTTGAGGTCTACTGCTGCATAGGATGCTGATAAACTAGCTGTCTTCGGCTGAATTTGTTTGTTATGTATGGGACAGAAGACCTAGGTGATCTGTGAAGTTCAAATAGTCTAGTTGCATCCAAACTGTTCATTGTATGCCGTGCTTTCTCTGATATGTGGGGGTCTTCATAATCCAATTGACCACCTGGAGAAAGAGAAGGGGAGATAATTAGCACCAATTTGTGACACCATTCGTCACTTGGAATGAATCTATGAGCTGCCCTTCATTCACGACTTTTCAGTGTAGTCCGTCGTATGAATTCCGTATGATGTTGATGATCTCTTCAGGTACATCATAGTGTGGAGAAAGGATCCATAAGGTCTCCTATGCACTCTGTCAAATGCTTTCTGATGGTCAAGGAGGTTAACATCTATTGACGAATTCTATTCAACTGATTGCTCCTCAATGATCGATAGTGTCACGATGTGACCTGTGCATGACCAATCCTTACAGAATCCGACCTGTTGATCTCGAAGTTGAGCGTCTACTTCGTCTTTCATCTAGTTCAACATCACTCCACTGAAAACTTTTCCTGGTACTGAATAGTACTGTGATTTCAGTGTAGTCCTCACATTTGCTGAGATTTTTTTGGTATCTTGATAAGATATCCTTCTTCTCAGTCTGTCGATGGCACGTGTTACTCATTTCACATCTTCCTGAATAGAACGAGGAGAACGTCTGCAGTTAGTGCTACGTCTGACTTGAGTACTTCATCTGGTATGTCGTCTGGCCCTCCTGCTTCGGTTTGGGCACCCGGGTAGCATCACAGCCCACACACAAATCAAGTGACTTGTGTGGCGCATATGTATTTGGTGCTTCTTTGTGCCAATATTTATGTGTTCAAATAAATAAATAAATAAAACATACTGGTCCTCCTGCTTCCCCACTGTTGACTTGTCTGTTGGTCATTCTGATTTCTTCGATCGTTTGTAGAGTGATAGCTATGCGAAGGTCTCTGTGTGCTGCTTGGATGTCTTTTGGGGTCAGTGGAGCTGGTATACTCAGTAGCTCTTTTAAGTGTCCCACCTATCTGTTCCTCCGCTCTTCTTTGAGTAGATGTTGTCAGACTTGGGACGTGTCGCTGAGAGCTATCTCGAATTGATTGAGTTCGTCAGTATGTCGAAGGAAGACTGTGTTAGACTTACGTAATGTTATTTGTCCAATGGTTCCTTAGCTTCACTGTGATCTTGGCAACCACCAGGTGGTGATCAAGATCTATGTCAGCTCCTCTCTTAGTTCTCACGTCTTCCGTTGGCCTTCTGAATTTTTTATTGGTGCAAATATGATCGACCTGGTTCTCTTTAGTGTGATCCGGTGAGACCCAAGTAGCTTTGTGTATGCACTTGTGTAGGAATGTTGTGCCGCCTATAACCATCTTGTTGAGGGGACATAAATTTGCAAATCTGTCACCATTCTTGTTCCATATTTCCACTCAATCGATGTCGTTTCATGATATCTCTATGGTTGGTGTTGTCGATTCCAACCCTGACGCTTAGGTCTCCTATCGTGATGAAAAGGCTCTTTGTTGGACTTCAGCCTCTGATAAATCTGACCTTTGTCGCCTTTGTTGTTATCATTGGTGGGTTCATACCACTGGATAGCGTTTATTGTGATTCCCTCCTTGTTTGTTTTGAAGGATGCTCTGTTGATCGTGGGTCCATGAAATTACCATCCTATAAGTGCTTTTTGTGCTTGGCTGGACATCATCAGAGCAACTGCCTGCTTGTGCGAAGCATTTTCTTCTACATGATCAGATTACAACAGCATCTCTCCCAAATCTAATCTTTTCTGTCCTGCTTATGTTCAAAGCGTTTCAGTTATTCCGAGAACGACCAAGTTGTACCTCCTCATTTTTGTAGCTATTTGGGTGGCTCATCCGGTCTCCTACATTTTCCGGACATTCCATGTACCTATGTTAATTGTTGCGCTGGTTGTTAGAAGGGGCATCGGCCTCGTGAGTTTTGAAGAATCTGGGCTTTCACCATGAGGCGTCATAATTGTTCTGAATGAAGATCACTGAACTAGGAGGTCAGGGTTTAAATGGGTTAAATTGTTTATTCTGGTTAGTGTTTTTTAACAAGGTTGTTTTCTACGAGATGGGGTTGCCGGCCGCCGACCCAAGCCTCCTGCTCCGCCCGGACTTGGGACCGGCAGTAACTATAGGTAGCTATAGGTAACTATAGGTAAAGTTATATGGGTAAAGTTATATTACGTCGTAGATCTATAATATTAATTATCATGGCCATATATATAAGATTTATGGATGACTTAGTGTCTTTATTTGGACCTAGTCTTACCTTAATATTATTTTGTTTTTACATTTGTTGATGTTATTTTAGGTTCCACATATAAACGTTATGTGCTGTTATTGGGTTTGGCAGCTGGATTAGTTAGTCTTGGGTCGCTTTGGTTATACAACTTATTTGAGTGGTGTTCAGGTGTAAGTGTCATAAATTTCTCGTGTTTATATACTCATCAGTCATTCGTTCTAGGTATATTCGTAGTAAACGAGAGCTTAATTTACAAACTACTTCGGTAATGTTAGATTTGAAACAAATTTAAATTGTAACAGACATCTTATTCTGAACGTCACACTATTATTTGTAGTTGGTGTTTTCGTGATTTAAGAATTCCTTTGTCACCACTGTTGCAAGCAAATTTGCTTCCGAGGGGCTGGGGCAAGTAGAAAAGCATATTAGATGTGTACTCTAGTTCACCCTTTGATGCTTTACCTCAAGGCTACTCGATCAACGATAAAATGCTGTCTTTGTGAATACAATTATGGCGGGTTGTCAGTAAATATTCTTAAGAAGCGAAATCTGATAAAGGTGCTGCTCGATTCATTCACAGACATACCTGAAATTTGCCTGGTCTCAGCTTTGTTGTTTCCGAGTATAATATATCAATACCTTTCGTAATGTAACTTTTTACCAAGTACAGGTTTTCGTACCCAGCTTGAAGTCACTCTGACAGCAATATCTAACTGGCCGATATCTATTGACCACCATATTTGAAATCCTGTATAGCTAACCTCTCGGACTTTACTCCTTTCTTCACGATAAAATCAGGAGACGTATTGTGGATTTCTGATCTGTCATTTTAGCGGCAGTTTCAATAGCTTAGCTTTTGTTAGTCTATTCAACTACCTAGCGTTAGCTTTTGCTACTACCTTTCCTATTTGTTGATTTTTTGCTAAATACTCAAGGTAATTGCTTGAGCATTTTGCCAGTATCCAAAGTCTGGGACGATGGTTTTCTGAATCACATTGCTTTCCCTAAAATTCCAAATATGATCTACTTACCTCGTGGTGAAGATCTGTATACTTTCCTGGACGTTTCACTCGTTCTTCTGTAATTCCACACGTGATATTTTCATTACAATTCTGAGCTTAACCATATCTTCCTGTTGTGAAGTTTCTGAGTCCAAAAAGGGCGGATCTGCAGTTACTCTTACTCAGACCTAATCAGAATCCAAACACATACATAAGAAGGGGGAAAAGTCGTCTATTAACCGTTTTTAATGGTGATTAGGGCATGTATTACAAATGTTCATTTTCTGCCTTTAAATATAATGCTGTGTCTTTAGTTTTGAGATCACACGAGGTTGCTATCGCACCTGTTTATTCTTTTAGTGAGTCGCAGTAGTAAGGTCCGATGAACAACTTCACTAGGTTATTTTATGAGTCGTGTGGCTTGAGGATAGATTAATGCTAAGGGGTTCTGGGATTGTTACCACTGAGGCTTGTTGTTTGATTGGAAGGGGTTCAGACAATGTGAACGTTAACATATAGCTTAACGAGCCGATTTAGCAGATCAATGGTAAAATTTCACTATTATCAATAGTATGATCTAAACTATAAAACAAGGAAGGGATTTAGTTTCTGACAGGTTTAACTCACGTGTTGCGCATGTGAGGGCGATTAGCAATTTTTAGAAAACTAAGACTTGGAAGAATATTTCCTTTCAACGAACGTGTGAAAGTGATTAGATTAGTGATTGTTGCTTCGTTGATTTAATAGAGGGATCATAAACCAAACTGAAGAACTTTCTGCAGCTGGAAACAGCGTCTTTCTTGGCAGTAGTTTTTGGTTGTCTACTGCTAGCTCCGTAGTTTTTAAATCCTTTCGAGAACACCGAAAGCATCTAGGGGTAGTGCCGAACCAATTTTCCATCTGTAGCAATTCCATGTCGCCAGAGATTATGATCACTCAGGTAAATCCTCCGTTACCGCCACTCTTTATTGCGTTTAAAAGTATTATTTCATCTTCAAGCCTAAAATTTGTTGCCATATTACCGTCCAAACGGTCTACCGGTTACAGTACGCCTTCAAGTTAAAAACATAGCCAACGAAGCTATATGTGGTCGGCTCAGTAGACAAGCATTGTCGATTAGTAACCAGCTACTGTCGGGCCAAGTGAGTGTAATTTATATTGTATTGTGGTATTTACATGGGAATGCTAGAGAGAAAATAATTAATAGTCGTTAGGAACATTTTCTTTACTTTCATTAGTATTTAAAATAAATAATATATGTAAAATGATGAATTATTTTTTTATTCATAATAGTTACAAACTTTTGAATATCTGAAAAAGACACACCAGGTGTTCAGTCCAGATGAATCAGAAAACAAAAGACAATTTTCAACTGGGCATGACGACGACTTTGATTTCAAACAAAGGAGTTCCAATTATTCAAAAAAGGTGGAAAGTATAGTAGATACACAAGTAGATATCGACCAGTATTTCGATTTGCACTATATCCATTACGATCGTAAACTTCCTTCGAAGTCTGAAGAAATATTTCCTAGAAAATGTGTCACAAGCACTGACATCGTTATCACGAATAACGCCGATCATGGGGTCCGGTCACATTTATTATGGACTAGTGGATCCATGAATTGTCCTCATTATGGTTCAGGCTCATATAAGGTGATTAGTTTAGGCTTTTTTATATCCAACACTAAATTCTCATAATGTACTTCTTAAAATGTGTCCCAAATCTTGAAAATATGAGTAGCTAATCATTTTGTATAAATATTTATTTCTTCCTTATTGTAATAGTTTAGCTAGTTTATATTTCATATATATTTACGGCCTTTCTAATATATTTTTCTATCTTAACAAAACATCTATACATTAAGTCGTCCCATTTAGTGATTTCAGTTGAATCAGTTGTCTCTGATCTATCATAAACACTTACACTTCATGCTTTGTCTCATTTATGTTCTGTCAATAAACTTTGGAATGTGTTGATTTCCTATTGTAGCTCTTGATTATTAGATTTATTAGACATAGTTCCTTATGCTGAATTAGGTATTCAGTGTTATGAAGTAAATAACATTATTATATAATATACATAGGGGTGGCATATGGTAGTAGTTTTGTCTCATTCAAGTGGGGATTAGTCGAATTCCGCATATCTTGGGATGGGGACTTTATTGTTTTAAGGAAGAATATTTCTTACAGGTTAGGTCTTATTTACTAGAATGAACTTTGTATTGTCTGTGAATATTCTAAATATCATTGCTGGATAAAATATTGGAACAAAACTCTGATTCACCGCTATCTCATGTCACAAAGGCAATTACTTAATAGATAATTTGTATTTCTATGTGATATTAAACAATAGTTACCCCGATCTTTGACAACATTTTTTACATCACAAATGTTAAGATTGAAGTGAAAGAAACCACATGTCCGTACAGAATCTCTGCAACAGATTTAACTTCGAATTGAAACTGTCCCTGGCTACCTCATACTGCTTAAAGGCTCAAAAACTTCTGATCTATCTATCTATCTTAAGACACTGCATAGCTGAAAGTCAAGACACGCAGTATTGTAGAACAATTTATTTGACGTACACAAGAGAAAACAGCCAGACGGAAGCAACAGATTAACGTTCAAACCTGGAAGGAAACGTATATATTTAATCAACAGACAAACAAAGCCTACATATTAATCAAGAGTTTAATTAAATATCCAAGATTAGGCTACTCTACGAAAGTGACGAAATAAAAACAGTTTACATAGGTTAAAAAGAGTGACACCAAATGTTATCAAAAAATGTACAATATACTATTGTTGTTCAAGATTCCCCCGACAGGACGCTGAAGTATATTGTTGAAGAAATAGTAATAAGATTTAAGTATCGTCCATAGGTCTAGTAATTTTCCCATATTTAAACACACGTCCATATACTATGATGTTACATCTATCGTTAGTCAGAGCTAAAGAATAATATAGTACGTATTAAAATCGAAACACTTGTATTTCTACATCTTCGGTGCTTTAGTCTGAATGGCCTCAATTTATGCAGGGAGGAGTTCTATAAGATGCTTAAACTGGGAATTTTTTGACCCTTGAACAAGTCAAGCCAAAATTAGTTCGTTTATTTTCATATTACTGGTAGTTTTGTGTCACACAGCGAAAATTGATATGTCATGTTGTTTATTGTTTAACCTTTCGAATATCTATATTCTAACACCAATGAAAGTTAAATTTATGAAATCGAGCAACTGATATTTTGAAACTTTAAAAGGAAAAGGATGGTCAACAACATTCTGTGAATTAATGTAAAAAACCGAAATCTCATAGCCATTGATAAGAAAGTAAAACGTATATTGGGTATTTTGAAACAAATTCGTAATATATGTCAAGATATTTGTCATACTCATTACAGACTAACGCTCAATCCGATCTCGGTATTTATTAATTTTAATTGCGTTTAGTCATAGTTATTAATCACCAAATTATCATGATGTTTACTATTTGCTTATATACTGTTGAGTATTCCACTCATTTACAGTTTAGATCTGTATCTCTATTTTAATTGGCGGACTTTCATTTATTAACCGGATTGTTCAATCCTGTTTATCCCAATATGGTTCATAAAGTCCATCTTCCATTAATTCCCACAAAGTGGATCTTTTATTGTTACACTGAAACTTTTATAGAGTGGTCAAGATGTATCTAGCTATGATTTCACATGTTTTTTTAAACATGTAATGTCGTTTTTCTCGGCCGTTACATCATAGTAGATTTGAAATATCTATGTGGAGTGTAATTCTAGCACATATATAAATTATTTTTCTTTGTTTACATTCCAGATCTGTACTATTTGTTGGCTAAATATGCCTGACTGCTGGCTTCATGGTCCAACATGGAGTTCTCTGAATTGTCAATTTAGTTCAAATCAATTATGGAGAAACACTAACCTTTTAGGACTTCTCGTATGCTTGCAGTTAATATACAGAGCAATTTATTTAGCTTGTAGTAGTGTAACGAAACAATCTAACTCTACACAGACTAGCCCTATATCTACACCGAATTTAATAAACAGTGAGTATTCGGATTGTTTACATCAGTTGTCGAATACTCCTTTTAAATTTGGTAAGTTTCTCTTGTACGTGTATAAGTCTTGTTTTAGTTAACATTTTCTGCCATAAAACATTTCCACATATTCAATATGTTTAACAGTCGGATTTTGATTGGTTATTTATTTTGAATAATCATTTTTGTGATCGATCAAATGTCATAGTCACAAAAACGTAACTGCTCGTCATTTCAATACTATCTATATTTCCTTGTGCCAATAGACGTACTTATGATTATTGCAGTTTAAAATGGTTGAGATTCATGTTGTAAGAAAACAAACTGAAAGTATTCTCGCCAAACATTCTTTTAAAAGTTTTTTTTCTTAATGTACGTTAAAGTATATAAATGATTGACACGCAGACGGATATTAATGATTTTAGGCCTTGCTGAAATCAGCAGTTAATAATTTCATGTACTGATACTACGTATTAGTTTGATCGAAAATAGCCCTCATCCAAACCAAGTACTACGTTACTATTGAAAGTTTGGTTATGTGAAACACCTCATCAACTGATCTGCAATTTTTAGCTTTACCCTACTCTTAGCTTCAACATCGATAATAAGTTTCTGTGCCTCATGTTCAATTATTTTCATCTCTTTCCTAATTTTTTCTTACTGATATTTTCCCTTAAAAATATTTTTCCAACATGATTTACTTTGATCGAATATTATTTTATTATTTTCTTCATGTAAAGATATCCGTTTGTTAAACACTAATCAAATTTTTTTGTTTTCTCAAAGTATAATTAACACTGTTGGAATGAAATTTCCATTTAGAACTGAAATCAGGTGAAAAACCATTTACAACTGGCATACACTAAACAGTTGTTTCGTCATGGTTTCGAACCTATCGCTTATATTCATCTACAACCTTTTACATGCAATCAAACCTATAATCTTTAGGTTTCATATCCAACGAATAATCATGAGTCCATCAAGTCGAAATCCTTATCAGATGTTGCGTACTATTACTGGTACTGTTTAGGGAAAACTATGATTAATCATTAGTTGCATTAAGTTATCATCCTCTAGTGTATTGTCGCTCTATAAATGTACTTTCATAAATATCACATATTTTTGCATCACTTTTGAAGCCAGTTATCACTTATTTTATCCTAATCAGATTTGGAACTTGGTAAACTTGAGTACTGTTCGACAGAATGCAAATTTTGTGCTAGACTCTACATTGATTATGACAGACTTTATCCTGTTACTCTGTACGGCCATCCGACTTAGATACTGATAGACACGCTTCCTATACACAATCCTAAACTTCCATATGAGTGAGGAAACCAAGAAGGTATAGTAAACTGTCTTGGTGAACGGAATCAAGTTGTACTTAACTCAGTGATATATATGAGCCAAACCCTGAAGAATTACATCGAAAGCTTCAATCGAGTGTCTCCTTTCACATTTCTCACTTAACATATGACTTGAACTAGTCTGTGCCCATAGGCGCATAGTCAATCATACCTCGTCTACCCTTCATCACTGTTTCACAGTGTTATCTTCTCTAGCTTACCGCTTTATGAATTTAATTCATCAAGTCTTCGGTTAAACTAAAGCGATTAGGTTTTTTGAGATTTCTTTCTTTATATTGCTCAGTTAGGTTGTTCCCAGTGGACTTTTTTTCTTCAATCATCTTGTGTGATAAATTTCATCTTTCCTTATTCCTAATTATATTTCAACATGTTTTTCCTGCATTCAGATGAAATGTCGAACTCAGAATCGACCCAACATGTTGCGATTTTTTCCGCAGGGAGTTCCTAGTTCATAACTCGATACTTTCTCATACTAAACTCAAAAATATTACATTCACTGATAAAACACTAAAATAATATATAGCAAGGCCATTTAGATGTTTTATTTTCATAGTTTTAATTTTATGTATTTACATAAGTAACCTTTTATCCAAAAATAAGTTCTTGTTAAACCAAGATGACTAGAGAAGACGACAAATAATAACACATGTAGACTGGTAATTAAAGATCAATTTCTTGAATTACTTTTTACGCACTATATGTTTTAATCGATTGTATACATTTTATGGTAATGTTTAGAATACAAACTATTGATTTAAATGCCATTCGCCATCAATTATATCAATCAATAACTAAATTGTATGAAGTTTTCCCAAAAAATTAACATAATTGGTTCATTTTATTAATTTGGATGGTGCAATCAAAAGACAAAGTCTGCCCTGACTATTTTCCGATTTGTTGCGTTTGATCTTTTATTTCTTATAGAAATATGTGAACAAATTACAATGTGATCCATTTGTTCGAACTACATAGTGCCAATTAACTACATTAGTTTCAATTAACTACATACTATCATTTACTTATACCTGAAGCTTTTTGAATGGTTTTTCCGGACATTCCATGTACCTATGTTAATTGTTGCGCTGGTTGTTAGAAGGGGCATCGGCCTCGTGAGTTTTGAAGAATCTGGGCTTTCACCATGAGGCGTCATAATTGTTCTGAATGAAGATCACTGAACTAGGAGGTCAGGGTTTAAATGGGTTAAATTGTTTATTCTGGTTAGTGTTTTTTAACAAGGTTGTTTTCTACGAGATGGGGTTTCTGACTTCACGCACAAATGACAGTGGATTAACTTATTCTTTCCCCTACTTAATTCTCCATAATATGTATTGTTTTGGGTTTGACGATGTCATCTTAATATGTTCAACAACCATTCATCAATCGATATTTTGATTTCATGTTGTGGGAGCATCCGTTTTAATTGTTAGGTCTCTATGTGGGAATCCATTTTTTTTACAAATGTATTCATTTCTACCACCAATTGGCTTATGAAATTGATAAGCTTAAATTCTTGGTTGATCCATCTGACAAATGTAATTCTAGTCCACAATATTAGTGCATTCACTGAAATGTAAATCGATTGGGAATCATCTCAAGTAGCCATACAATTATATGATCAGCCTATAATGTTTTGAAGTCAAAATTATATTCGATTGAGATGACCTGTTCACATGAGTGTGATCAGTTAACTTCTCTCATCTTACTTTATCTCGAGCGGACTATATTTGAACAGTACCAAGTATTTGGTTTTGAATCAATGATTGAGTACTATGAGGCTTTAAGCAAGATGTAAATATCTAAGTCCCATTTTTTAGTGGTAGTGAATCAACACTCTTCAGGAGCTTCAGACTATCCAATGGTTCTTTTTCAATTGAGACCAGTTTTTGTGGAATGGGATCTTTTGATATCCGCTTCGCACAAATTAATATTATAATGCTTTATTACTGGGACGATTACCGAACTATAGATTCGTCTAATCGATTAAAACACCAATATACTACGATGCAAGTAGGTTCCGTCAACTGAGTTTCATATTGAATGAGAAGCATATTCTGTATTCCTCTCCTATACAGTATCAAAAATATACTTATTATTGATTATTGGTAAAATACATCATAAATACTTATGAAATCCTCAGTTTGTTCAGTATTACCTTTTTCTATGTTCTTTTTTATCTTAAGTGTAGACAGAGTCTATTGTAAACATAACTTCCTAATTTAACATACTTTAGGGAAAATCACGGTGGTATATACGCATATATATACTAACTGAAAATGGTACATCATTTTCACACATAAACATATGACGATTCGTATGCTAAAAAAGTCAAGCCAATCCAATAAAAAATGGTATCTTGTAAACTGTTTGATTAACAGAATATGCACATCAGATACGTTTATACAGGAAGAGAAAGATATAGTATGCAGATTGATCTCTACTTTTTAACTCTTGTATACTTTAGGTAGTTTTATTTAAACAATGGTTCGTGTTTATTATTATATCTGCTTTTGTATATATGCATGTGTGTGTGTCTACTTCTGTATCGCTCGTTAATACTAGATAACTAGTTCCTGAAGATTTATTTGACAAGACTAATTTTATGCAATTCCTGAAAACGTTTCGGTATACTAGTTCCAAGTTGACTAGTTGAACCAATGCAAAAGCTTTATTAGTTCAAAATGTGATACTTATAAGGAGCATAGAGAAGGGTTTCGTACAATTTTTCCAATTTTTAATCCAATTACAGCGAAAACTGAATTTAACAGAATAATATCAAATCATTTGTTTTTTTGATTCTCTTTTATTCCTTTCAACCTAAAAACAATAGTAGTAATTATTTTTATCATACCAATCAGGATTACTGAAAGGAGTAATAAATAACCAAGAATAGTAAAAATGCTCTAGATTTTAAACACTTATATGTTAAGTAATGTGCAAATTCCAAAAGAAAAATCTTAAAAACACAAGGAAACAAGTTTCTAGAAAATAGAAGTTGGTGTCAAAAGTCATATTATAACACTTGTAAAGGTAGATAGATTAATGGAGCAAAATAAGTAAAGCTCAATTCGTAACACAAGGATAAAGGAAAAAATAAGTAACTGGAAATATGAAATGGGATATTGCCAAATTAAATGTTAGGAATTAAAGTTATCAGGTTCATACGAGATTGATAGCTGTATCCTTCTGAATTTATATGTTCTGTTTTAACTATATGAATTAGTGATTTCGGCCATATGTAATGACATTCAGGTTGTTTGAGTATGGATTATTTTGAAAGATTTTGACGTATCAATATTCCTGTTCACTACCAAGCAGATAACACATAATCTAAGATGCAAAAAACCAACTCTCCTTCCTTTTCTTTCCGTGCAAATGCTCTGGAGCGTACATATAAACTAGCAAACATCATTGAAAGTAACATAAGTTGGGGATTTGTCCACTTTTGTCAGAATAGTAATTGTTTCATCCAGAGATGTTAAAAATCTCTATTTTCCAAACCGTCCTTATGTGAACAGAGATTTAAAGAAGCCATGACAAACAACGGAGGCTGTTTTCGGAGACGTCATTTTATTTAATTCCAAGTTTTTAAAACGCCAACATTTAGTTTTGTCACTAGTTTATTCTATAAACCATAAACTTTCGTTTAATGTTTGATTCACTGCCATACCATTTTCGATTCGAAAGCTATTGCAATTTATCAGTACAGGGTTGTGGAGATTGTTGAGTGTTGGCTGAGATCATGAATCGATCAATGTTAGACCACAATTGAGAATCTGAAAGCACTGGACAGCCGTTTAGTCTCGGTATGGGACTCCTCAGAAGTGCGCATCCACGATTCCACATGCGGAATTCAAATCCAGGACATTCGATCTCACACGCGAACTCTTAACCTCTAAACTAATGCGCGGGCATCCAACAGTATTAATGTCTAACTTCAACCAATCCACGATATTGTGCAACCATCTTCAGGGGGTAATTGCCTCACACCCGACACGAATCGGCTCCACCAGTCACAGCTTCTCACCAGAACTCCGAGAATTACCTCTCGAAGTTAGTCACCAGTTAGCACGTGATAATTATCAGTATAGGGTTTTGGAGATTGTTGAGGTTTGATTGAGTTTGTAATTTAAACGCAACCTTCTGTACTCCATTTTTCTACCCCAATGCCCAGTTTGGACATAATTGTATTTTTCTAATTGTTTATGCATTGTGGTTATGCTAGTCATCTATTTATTCATGTATCTTTCTACGGTAATCAGAATCAGAAATTGAGAATAGTGAATAAATCGAGTGGTGTTCCAGTCGCTCGCTTGTCAACCCATGAGGTGGTAGAATAGTTTTCATCTCTTTACCCAAAGCCTTTAGTCTCACTTCGGACTCACGCATTTCTAGCATCGAGGTTAAACCAGTTAGCTCATCGTGTCAAGGCCTTAACCTAGATTAAGACAACTAGAAGGATCAAAGACCTAACACTGTCGCAACAACTCGGTCACTTTTCTGACGAGAAATTCGCCACCATCCTCAAAAGAGAGGCAGTCATTCATGTCTGCTGACTTGTGAGGCTACAGAAGTTCGAGTTCTTGCTAGACCACTTGACTAAGTGGATCGGTAGTCGTCGACTTGGGAGCGCAGGACAATTTACTTGACTCTGTTAGGGCTATAGGCTAGCTGAATTGTCGTTCGAAAATCTTAGTCCATCGTCTAAGACCATTTTAAATGTTACTAATTGGCGTGCTATCGACTCCACGGACTGCTTGACCGACACCATACTTCTAGATACCAGTTGTTTGGGTGAGTTGAAACAGCTCTCGGGATTCAGCTGTTTCCTCCAGCTCATGAGCACTCTCCAAATACCAGGTTTTTCAGTCCTTATCAAAGCTATGTGAAATATCCTGATCAACGTGTATCTTCAAAATGACGATTCGTCGGAGTAGACTGGGATGCTTTGAGTTGTAGGGAGCTTATGTAAACCCGGTGCTTGTAATTCGGACATTTACCGAAACCAGAAGTCACTTAACTAATCACTACCATGGTGCTGTGCAAATACAGCCGATACTGATTTCTACTTATCGGTGGACTGGTAGCTAGCCTTCAACCTAACTCATTTTGATATTTGGTTGTAACTGAAGCTGCAGTCAATTTGCTTATATCAGTTTGTTTCGAACAAGACGTCTATTATGACTTCTATCCCTGTCGATTGTCGTGTGACAAAGTCACCAATCAGAATATCGACTTCTATGACTTTGTTCCCATGCTAAACCAATGATGCATCAAAACAACACCAGCAGCCGTGTATCATTTCTGAATCTTTATTGGTCCCCAACATAGAAGCTTTTCTCCTAGCCCCCCCCCCGTTGAGTCCAGAATGAAAAATCAGCTTTCATTGTATGAATAATATATTTCAGACATACGTACTTTATATACAAGCAGACCAGACCTCATCACATCATGAAATGAAAAATAATAATTGCACAAGATCAAACCAAAAGTGTGCGTGTGAGTATGAGAGACCGTAACTAATAAATTGGGAATGAATTAAGAATGGTAAGTCGCATAACAGCAGCCAATGGGTCAAATAAAGTCTTACGATAAACGAAAATAAATATACATAGTCTAATTACATAATAGTTATACAATAAGAATATATATATAATAACAGTCTATAGATAGTTTCTAGAAGCTTAATCTTCGGATACAACAGCGTCTATTAGCCGCAAATGCAAGATAAGCTTGGGGCGAAATAGGTAATTATCAGAGTCCAGATAGGTATTTCAAAAGGAGAAGCAGTCTTGTGCATATCCACATTAGCGATAGCTGATCATGATGTGATCAATCTGAAATTTAGTCTGGTGTTGTAGATGAAGAAGGCCAATTAGTATATAGGTGATAAGTTCATTAGAATTTGGTAGTGGCCAGGAGCAGATTGTGGTCTGCACAGTTACAAAAGACGATTACTGCTATCTGATCTGAGACCATCGAACCCGTTTGGGAACATAAGTGACTTCCCTCTTTTCAAAGACGCCAGATTTATGCATTCAAACCTCTGGCTAATGCTGCATCTCTCGAGCGACCTTTCTTTTATTTCTCACTTCAATAGACCCTTCTAATTTAATTGGACACTAACGATTATTATTGAGGATTCAACAAATGAGTGCCTTTTCTGCATCACCAACGCAAGTCAAGCTGAACGAAGTTACTACATTGTACGGAAATAAACATACATGGAACAAGCATTTCAAATCAACAGATGGAGACCGAAGTTTTAATACTTCATTCAAATCTCGAATGCGCGTCACGTGTACTTAACATCACCAATATTGTGACTTTCCATGGACAACTAAACTTATCTGTTGTCCGATCTTTACCTAAGACTTTTTAAGCAGAACAGAACCTTCTACAGAAACTGGTCGCTATGTTAGAAATGAAGATGTACACAGAATGGAACAACTTGAATTAAAGTAAAATAAATTTATTTATCATAATGTGATTACAAGCATCGCTTGAGTAGGTATGAAGGAAGAGCAAATAGAACGGTTTCTCTATAATTATTAGTTGTCACACTTGTGAATAGCCTGACGTTCTGCCTGGGTACCCGGACCGAGGCTGGTAGTTTTCTCAGGAGGCAACTTCCAAATCTCTTGACTTAGAGGCCTGATCCACTGGTATCTGGTTTGTTCTCTCCCACAGTTGGTTGTTGTTAATAGTGTCCGGCCAACGGATCCGAAGTATTTTAGAAATGATTATTATACTTTATTTATTTGTAGTGTTATATATTTTGTTTTATATAGCTGAATGATCATCCTCTGAACTATTTGTCATTGTATATTTGTGATTTCAATGATATGAAATTGTTCCGTCTGATGTGTTTAATTCTTTACATGATGGAAACAACTATTTTAAGGGGAAGAATACATATTGTCTGTTGACCTTATTTAGATTATTTGAACACTGTCATCCATTGTTAGTTATATGTAGGTAAATAAGAATTAATTGATTCTGTGGGAGTGATAACAGTTAACTTGCTGAACTGTTAATTTTTAGATTAAATTATCAATATAAATTGAACTTTAATAACTAGAATTGTAATGTTTTAACTAATTTCCCATATTTTTCTAAATTTAAAGTAAGAAGCGATATGTTTTACTCGCTTTGATTTAGTACTTCAGACGGCAAACCGTAAAAGTTATTACATAACATAATGATAGTGAGTGAAGGTTAATACTCATCACTCAATTTCACAAAATTTACGGAAGTTTAGGTATTCCTTTCCTCAGTGTGATATAGTCAATCAGTGACACCGTTAAATGAAGCAAACCGCTGATAAAAAAACGGTAGTATACTTGCTTCCAGGTTCTTGTAAGTAGGGAATTAAATACCATATTGATATACTCTATAACTTTTTTCTTCAGAGGAGTGTTGAGGCTTTACCTCAAGCGTTTCGATACTATCTTTGCAGCTAACACAATATCTTTTCTGCATTTTAATCATTTTTGAAGTCATCGTGCTGACTTTATTAATGTTCAGTGATAAAAGGATTATCTTTCCATGACATTGGTTGGTGGGACGCGTCAACTGAGTTAACCTTGTCTACAATTAAAGCACTTCTTTGTCTGACTAATTATTTTTGGACCATTTTCCATAGGATTGGTTAAATACCTGATTTGTTGTACTTTCTACATTTTGAAAGTTGAAATACTGGACTAAATTCATTCATCGATTTAGAAATTACGTAAAAATATTCTCTTATTTGTATGAACAGCTTTTTGTGCTTAAACATGTATAAAATGAACGCTATCATTATATTGTCCCGTTTAAAAAATTGATAAGAGCAATGCTAATGTAAATACTAACCTTCAGATTACGTAATAAAGTTTTGCAAACCATTCAAGTGATGTGTTTGGTCTATATATTCTGGTGAGCTTATCGATCAATTCAAGCAGTTCTTTACCAATATTTTGTTCATATGTTAAGTCAATCCAATCTCATGGTAGCTGGAGGGTACAAGGGATATATAAAAGCTATGTTAGGTCTTGAGATATCTTTCGTTATTAACATCTTGTTATACTAACTGGTTCTAAACTTGGATTAGTATATTTATTTAATGCTGACGGAAATCTTCATCCCATTTCATGTACAAGTTAATCGATTGTACGTTTTGTCTAATGACCTAAGACTACACAATATGTAGAAGAGAACTAGATGTAGTCATTTTAAACCCATGGTCCACTTATACAGAATCACACTTTTCCACCTTTTTACTAGTATTCATTTCTATCAGTCATAATATCTGTCTAAATTATCGTGAAATTATTTTCTCATTATTTTCTTACAGATAGTGAGTCTATTACAGCTCATACACCTTTAGTAACATCCACTGTCAACATGACCCCGATTTCTAACTGTCCACTCTTAGAGCATAGTAAGATAGGGTTCAATCCTTCAAAATCAGATCAATCCAATTACTTGCTTCAATCAAAATTAATGAGCTCATTCGACATAAATTTAAATAAAACCAGTTTATGTGATAATCAACAAAATAACAATGTAAAATCTCTTTCCACATCTATTGATAACGTGTTATTTCCAAGTATGAAAAATGAGAGCACTGATCAAACGTCTATGAATATTAAATCATCTGATAAAGATTTTATAGTAGATCCTATTGCCACTATATCTACAGATCAGTTATTGTCAAAAGTTATCGAAATCCTTAATCCTAAACAAGTTGATTGGTTAAACAACTCACCAGTTGGAACATCATCATCACGATCATTAATTCATCGTGTACATAGTGATGCTGTGTTAGATAGAAAAATGAGTAAATCTTGTAAATATTTGGCGAAGGAAAATGATTATACTACTCGGACTACTACCAATCCACCTATATATCATCGTTCACGTTTTCATTCCAGTTCAAATTCATCTACTTTGTCATGTTTAAATATTGATGATAATGAAGGTTTTGAGTACGATGATATTATTTCTATCTATGCAACTAAAGATGAAGTAATGAGAAACATTAACAAAAATCAAATGACTATAAAACATATTCATGGTGATAACAATGATGAAGATGACGGTGATGGTGTTCTCATTGATGAGAACAATGAAGATATAGACGACAATATTCTTCGACAACTCGACACATTATCTTCTCTTCTTAACAATAAGTCTGATAATTTCTTCCAAGGTCAATCAAGTGAAATTTCATCAGATTTAAACAAAAGTACATACATTGCAAATGCACCTGATGACGTATTAATATCATTCTCATCACCGTCATCGTCACCGGGAATTAATAAAAATCCTAATAATTTATTACCTAGTAGTAATTCCGATGCAATAAAATTCACTGATCTTACACAAAAAACTGTTGTACTCACAGATGAATTAAACAAACTAGGTGTTACACTTGATCGTTTATTGTATAAACTACAAGCTAATCAAATTCAGTTGGATCAAGCTGAAGATAATTTAGATTATATGTGGTATTTAAGAGATAATTTAGATAATAATTTTTCGTCAAACACATCTGATTGTTGTTCTGAGTTTGGTTTAAGTGATGTCGAAGCAGAAGCTTTACTAAATGATGATGGTGATGTTGATTTAGATGAAAATGGCAGTGATGATGATGAATATAAAGGGACGGATGATGATTATTGGTCATCACATGGTAGAATGACACAATCATCTACTCATCCAAATGATTACTGTCCTATCCGTGGTATTTCTGGTTATTTGTTCAGTTCACATGGAACACTTGATAGTTCTCATTATTCTAACTTAAAAATCCCAAGTGATATTTGTAATCATTCATCAAATTTGGATTCAGGGTTAGAACAATCAGTTATGACATGTTCTGAATCATATGCACAGATGTTCTCACCAATGCCAGAAAAACATTCAGAAAATTCTCTTGATCATCACTTTTTATATAATAGATATTTATCAAATTCTCAAGTCTTTAAGAATTACTCACATTCACTTCCAAAGTATTCACGTTTTAAAAAACGATGTAGTTATAGTCAAAAGAAACGAATGTGTAATAGTGAGAGTAATCGTTTTTCTACAAATGTTCTTCCTGATTCTGATGGTTTTCTACATCCAGGTGGGTTCTTGAATTATAGTTTATTTTATTCGGGATTGGTGTAGATGAGAGTTTAAAGTTGTTCAGACATATAACTTTGAACCAAAAAGTTGTTGACATATCACTTATTCTACCTTCGTTCTAAATAAGTAGTATTTATTATTGTTTTTTTATATTAACCAGTTTGCCTTGTACAAAGTCTTGTACTTGTTTGTAAGCCATATTAGGTGTGAAGACTAGTGATTATATCCGATTGCCCGAACCGAAGTAGATGGAAGGTTATTCGAATTTGCGATTTAGTGGCTGAAAGTCTAGTGCTTTATAACCGCTAAGCTACCCCTCATTGACCTGTTTTATTTAGAATTGCTAGCATATGAATCTGTATGTAATGTTTAGTTTCGCTTATTTATTAAACTTTATAGAGCGTTTCTGTTGCGTTCGTTGTTTTTTTATTCAGCCGAACCAAAAAATTCTCTCAACGACTAATTATACGAACTTACTAAGCATTATTAATCTCTCGTGTCTTGTCAGCGCAATAACTTTTGTTTTTCATATCTAGCCTTCAATCATCTAACTGTAGGCTTGATTTTATTTACATCTGTTTTGACCTCTTAGCTAGTATAGGTTGTCTACTTATAAATTTAAATAACACTTGGCCTCTTATGCTTAAATATTAGATCATATACTTGTCATTAAGAAACTATCTCTTCACTTTACCCAGTTCACTTTAATTATAATTGTGGTTTTCACCATAAAGCTTTAAAGTAAATTATCTCTCTTTAATCAATTTAATGATAAATGTTTTGTTAATCTGGCTACTTAGATTAATAAGTAAAATTAAACTTGTTGACATAAAACTGGAGTTTGTTTTCATTCGCAAAGAATAAATAACTATTTATTTCTTCTACTTTGCTACCAAATGTTTTCCTTCCTCTATATTTAATCAACATGCGCTTCATTTTATTATTGTATTTCCTTCGATTACAGCGTGTGATTAAACCACATGATACTTTAATTATCTTAGGAATACGTTCCCTTTTCATTACCGTTCATTTAATGTCAATCACTAGTGGAAACATTAAAGCATTAGTTTTGTACTAGTGAATACTTACAGTGATTTATGATCGAGATCAACATGATTTATGTGTAACTAATTATTCAGGTATCTAAGCCTTCAACTTTCAGCTATGGGTTTGTGGGTTGAAACCCCTTAACTATATAGTTATAACGTTATCGAGATTCGTGCAACATAGCCTAAGTGATGTTATTTTTAGGTTGGTGTATTTACTGTTTCATCTCAGAACTGTTATGATTATTTTTTAAAAGTGTAGCCAATGAATAAATTTTTATGTCAAAAATCTTATTCTAGTTAATGTGATCGATTCACGAAATATTTTAGTTTCTTCTAAAACTTTATGACATTAGAGTGAAAACTATTAGCAACTGAGTATTTGAAGTTCCATAAATGTTAAATACTTAAGGCATTAACGCAAAATTGAGTGTTTGGTCCATTGTGTTATAAATTTTGTCTGAATAACCCCCAAATACCCTAGTACGAATGAGGGTGGGGAGAATTCGCTCTTCTTCTTGAAATACTTTAATGTGACCATATATATATATATATATATATATATACATAATGCCATTGAAGTCCTACTCACTGCCTTCTCTCGGCATGGGTGTCGTTTACGAACTTGAGAGGATGAGAAGCTAATGTCCGGCGCTTCAACTGTGTTGGAGGGTATGGAAGATCCATCTAAGGGAGTTGGAAAACCTTTATCCCAGACCAATGGTGCACATGAACTCCTGGATTTTGATGGAACAAGTGGCGTATGAACCTACCGTTGGTCTTCGGCTACCATGAAACGATGTCTTTTCGCCATCTATACCTACGCTCTGGTAGATTTCGGCCCGGAATTGATCAACGATGAGTTTTACCACTATTCTATATAAAGTGCGTTCGACAGACATTCTGTAAAAGGTTGGATCTACAACGCATCGGTCAGAGCAGTTTTGCTATATCCTTGTGGAACATAACTTCTTCGTGTCGAGGATGTTGGACGACTGTGTTTAATCGTCGTTTTCTTTGACAGATTGCTGATATCCAGTGGCCACACCATGTTAATAATGCAGAGTTTCAAACACATGTGTTCGGGGTCGGGGACGATGACTCAACTGATGTTATCATCTCAAAACACTGACTTCGGTGACTTGGATATATCCTTTAAATGTCATCCCAGAGAATTACATGTCATGCTTCATTTGCCGACACTGGATCTGGTTGGAAAAAGTGGGGAGGTGGTCAGTGCATGATATGGTACGAAAGAAAGCTATTTAGGACTGGCTTCTCCTGGTTCTTCACAACTCCCTCGTTTGGGTGCTAGAGATGGTGCAACACAGTGGTTAAAGACGTTATCAGATATTGGATTAGGATAGAAGCCAATTTCGATCCTGCTATAACTTTTACTTTCTTCATAAAAATGAACGTAACTGCTTTAATTGAAAGAATGCTTTCTGGTTATATTTTCGCTAACTGAACTGCCTCGCCTATTATTATTATTTATTATTTATTTGAACACATAAATATTGGTACAAGGGGGCACCAAATATATATGCGCCACACAAAACAGTGAGAATGGGAAGAGAAAAAGAAGGTAAGGTGAGTATGAGAATAAAAAGAAAAAAGGACAATAACGACCACAGATTAGTGTAAGGTAGTGTAGTAATAATAATAATGGGGAAACGGAAAGGTACAATCAGAAGAATTCTTTCAGTTAAGAAAGATACAACCACTTTTTAAGAAGAAAGTAAGAGAAGGTTACAGCAGGATCGCCACTGGCTTCTATTCTGAGCCATATCTGATAACATCTCTAGCCGCTATGTCGCAACATCTCTCGGACCGCAGCCAGGGAGTCGTGAAGGACCAACACAAGCCAGTCCTTTGCAGTTTTCTTTCATATGACGACACCATGTCATACAGGGACCACCTCTTCGCTTTTTCCGACCAGTCCCAGCGTCGGCAAATAATGCACGACGTGGAATTCTCTGAGACGACATTCGTAGAACATGTCGAAGCCACCGAAGTCGATGTTTCAAGATGGTGACACCAATCGGATTATCGTCTCTGTGCCCAAACACACGATGACGAACCTCTGCATTACTAACATGGTGTTGCCACTGGATGTCAGCAATCCTTCGGAGACAGCGATGATCGAACACAGAGATTCATCTAACGTCCTCAACTCGGAGAGGCCAGGTTTCACAAACATGGAGCATGGTGAGATCGGGCAACCCTGTGTAACCCCACTGCTTGAATGGAACAATGGAGAAAGGTGATTATATGCCCTCACTCAACCTGAGGTGTTTGTGTATAGAACCCTTTAAGATGTTAATGAACTTCTCAGGCACACTCTTCTTCAATAAACAATCCCAGAAAACAGTCACAAAAAGAATGAAATGACGATTATTAGTATTATTATTATTGTTATTATTATTACTTCACTCTCATTCACTTATTTCTATTCATTGTTGTTCTTTTTTGCTATACTCACACTACTTTCTCTATCTCTTCACAACATTGTTATTGTGTGGCGCATATGTATTTGCTGCTTCTTTGTACCACTATTAATTTGTTTAAATAGATAAATAAATCATACATTTTATTTATTTTCTTAATCAACTTAAGTCCTATGTCTTTGGTTAATATCCCAAATTTTTATTTTAAATTATTATTGATTTACGTAGCTTATTTAGCTCAGTCTAAATCAACTGTTTTTCAAAGCAAAGTTTATTACACATATATTCTTTTAGGCCTTAATGTAGAACAGAAAACATCTAACGTCAAGATGGGCTTTTTCATTTTATGCCTACGATTATTGAAAAAAAATAGAAATGTAGTTTTTCTGTAGCTTATTTTCGCTCACTTTATACACAAACATTCAAATTAGCTGGTGAAACTAAATGTCAAGTAATCTGAAGAACGTAGTGCTATGGGTAAATTATACAGCCTCTACTTAAGCTCTGCTATATACATAATTTGTTTAGGTGAACAAGGCACATTTTTTATTTTATTAAACATAAACCCCATAATCTATTTTATTGAACAGACAAAGGGCAATGATAATAGAAGTAGAATAATAGGGATTCGATTTATTTTATAAATGTTCACTAACTGCTTGTTTATGTGTTATTAATTTTCTGTTAATTCTTTTCCATAACTTGGATTACAACAAGCGTAACAATTAAAACGAGTTAATAGTAATTCATTGTATTCAGTAGAGTCATTTTCTGTTCTCACAATTGTACTGAGCGAAGTGTTTTGAATGGTGTGAAGAAATATGGTATAAACATTATGTATTCACAGTGGTAAACATGAATAATTGAAGTAACAAAAGATACCTCTCTCCCAGTATTTGGGGCCGAGTTGATGTGAGACATCAAATAGGAAGAATGTACTTGTACTCAGCGAATGAATTTGAAGTAAATCCAACGTTTCGCCTTTCAATCTGGTCCAAGCTTTTTCAGGGAAATATAATCAAACATCAAAATTATCGAATATAAATAGGTGCATGGTTCTCCGGTTCATTGTGTACTGAATAGGTCATCCAGTCAACGTTAATAATGTTTAAAGTAGGTATTTGCATTAGTGTGTAAGAGACATGTGCTGTGAAGTGACATGTGTTAAGATAACTTGTGTGTATACGTGAGAGGAAATTTCATTCACTATATATTGTCTCTGGTCAGTGAATTTTAAGAAAACATGTAATTTGTATCTCATACCAATGGATCATAATAATTGCAGTTTCAGTCGTTTTCCTATAGCGAAGTGATTGGAATTGTCTAACATAAGTGTGCGAAAGATTCACATTGTAAGATAAGAACTGCTCAGAAGTCACATACCGAAATATTCAAAATAAAATTTTAAAAAAGTGCTTGAGCCGTTGATGGGTTTACATTCCAGTAGGTTGAATTAGTAAGTAATCGAAAGGCACCGATAATGGTGATCATAAAATCATCGACGTATAGATTATTGATTATCAGTTAGATTAAATGTGATTATGGAAATATATCTTATTGCAGAATGGTATATTATCCTTGAAAGGACCTATCAGTGTAGAAGAAATAGGAAGTATGGTTAATGGATCTCGTTGAAAGCATTCGGCAATTCTTTGAGCAACTTGATCTTTCATAGCGACCCACAACAGCTGGGAACACCCTGGATTTTCATTCTGTCAATTATGAAACTACTAACTCGGCCCAACAATGATTGACTTCAATTGTCGAACAAGACTTTCGGCTTTATTTGTTCCATTTAAGCTATATTTACGATGTTTAAATTACCACTACCAGTGTTGTTGTATTTCTACCTCTCTATTCTTGTTAATTCTTTTCGCACTATGTTAAAGTAAAGTTTGCTGACTTGGGCTGATGTGTATACATTTCTGGTCTTTATGGGCTTTATCGCTGACTATAATTTATTCATAACTGACTGATGCAATAATTCAGTATTATTTTAACTACAAGTGTAACGAAACTAGTAAATACTGTGTATAACGTTGCAGTTTGAAATTTGTTGTGAATCGATTACTTCTTTCTCATTGAAGATATTCCAATTAATCTTTTGTAAATTGTTTAAACTTTTTTTATTATTTCACTGAGTGAAAACAATGAGTAACCCATAATGTTTACAAAATTAGATTAATGTGGACATGTTGTATGATTAGATATGTTTGGAATACTATGAAGGTAAATTTCCTATTTTCAAATCTTTGACATATCAGACACTTTGATTATTTTTATTTCTAAGAATTTGTTTGTGTGATCAAATCAAGCATATTTGGTTAGACGTTATATAAGGATAGTTTTAAATGTTTCTTTACTATGAACTGATACTACAAGTTTATTCTACAGAATGATCTCAATCAAGATGCAGTTCATAGCTAAGGTTCAATTATTAGCTTCTACATAATGATTTATCATACTGAAGGTATTTATTAAAGTGACAGAATTAAACACCATCTCCATTTTCAAACCAGCTTAGTTTCAATACTGTATTCTTATAAAAAATACTTCAACAATTCAAATTGCTTCACTACAATTTCGTGTCCCAAAGTAATACTTTTCCTAGAATTAACATTTAAAAAATTTCAGCAAGTATTTCAGATTTCTAAATAATTTGTTTATCAGATTAAAACATAATGGTTTAAGAATAAACAAACTTTTTCTGAATGATAATTGATCTAATTATTAAGTTTCACGCGACCTACGTAATCTAATTTCGGTATTGGTCGATTGTCACATGACAAAATTATTGTCCATAGAAGAATCAAATCTACCGGAATTGTTTAGATATTTATTCGAACGATGTTTGTTTGTTGTGATCGATATGAAATTAGTTATATACTTGATAAAAGTTTGTTGATGTAGTAACTGAGTGGACAGTTAAAATTTTAGATATTCTTGTATTCATATACTCGTTTATAATGATTATAAGTTTATAGGAATGCGAGGATGTGGACACGTTATCATCCTTCATTAACGAAGGGAAGCAACAAAATAAAAAAACAACTACTTATTTTATCTGTCCAATATAACAAACATCTTGAAGATAGGACAAATTATAGAACCTATCCATAGCTAAAAATTAAAGAGACTTGATTAGGGATTTTATCTTAGTTATGAATTACTCATTGGTAATTGTGCGTTAGCCTCGTGGTTAATAAAATAATCGAATTCCAACCACTATTGTTTAAAGTTCGTACCCAGCTTAACGTACTGCGGTTTTAATAAGCTAGTAGTACCACTATTCCCGACTTAAGTAATGTAGCTTAGACCCACCCAAGTACATAAATATGTACTCTATGAGCTTATTCATCACCGTACCCTCTGAAAAAAAATAGAACTGGTAACCATTGAAATCCATAATATAAATATTGCTTTAAATGAGTGTGGTTTGTGGTTACCAGATCATTATTAGGTCCTCGTTTTAGTTTAAAGTTTTTCAGTGTTAAAGGCAAGTTCAAAATAAAACTCTGCCTCTATGAAACACTATATTCTCTACGGTAAATTCTCTTCAGGTTCTAAAATTATATCCAAATTAATAATCCAAAAAATGGCCAGGTTAAGGGCAAAGTGCATCGTTTAGAGTTAAAGCATGTGAATTTAGGATTGTCAAACAAAATAGTATAACTTCAACTAATCCACGAAATTGTGCGACACATCCACCATTTTTGTCAGTGGGTAACTATCTCACAACAGACCCGGCTGAACTACACTGGTCACTGCTTCTCACTAGATCGTGGATGCTGACTGTTGTGGAGTCCCACAATAGGACGAAACAGCTGTCTAGTGTTTCCAGGTTTTCCATGGCAGTTTAACCTCAATTTACTCATGATCTCAACTACTAAAAAATAGAGTGAAATTGTTAATGTTGATATGACTCATATAGAATGTTAACTTGAATCAGAATAAATATGGGTCAGATAGGGTGAGAAAAATAATAGTGCAATTAAAATTCGATCAAATGTTTAGTGGAAGACTATATTATGTTAAAAATTACCATGATATAATGAGGTTAGATGAATGCGAAGTAAATGAATCATGTATTGGGTAGATTAATAATGATGTTTAACCAGTAATAATAATAATAATACAAAGATTTGTGAATAAAGATAACAGACAATTACATTTGACTACGAAAGGTTGTAAGTACAATAGTCAAATTAGGTCATCCAATAACCTAGATTACTATTAACTAATTGGATTTAAGGTTGGCCAAGGAAGGAGAAGCAGTTGAATATATTTCTTTTGTGCACACAGCTCCGGTTTCTTAATCTGGGTGGCTACTGCTTCAGCCTTTTGAAGGACTTCGAGTCTGACAAGCTTTGACAAGAAATTACTGACTCAATAAATAGTTGAAAAGGATTGGTTTATACTGGCACTATGACCAGTTTGCACAAAATGAGCCAACATCGAGCTGAAGGGAATTTATCGAAAAGAATATTCTTCGTTCAAATATTAGTCTTTTAATATGATGGAGACCTTTAGACAAATACTTTATATTTTAAAGCCATCCTTCCCTTTATACTACCATATGAAATCCCTAATACGAATTGAGTTTTCAAGTTATTTATTGTCCAATTGAAATACTGGTTTAATCAGTTTTGTAAGTATGACGTACATAAAGTTGCCTGTAGTGATTTGTTATACTTTTTTATGACAAATACGTAGACATTAGTTATTGGTCTTAACTATTTAAAGGAAAAAAAAACTCGTGAAAAGGATTTCAACCGTTTTTCACTCCTAAACAAACAAACCGTAGACATGTTTCCTCTACTGTATCTGAAATATTTTACTTTTCATAACGTATCACGTAAACAATAATTATCTATTTTCTAAAAGTTTTCTCTGAATTTCTATTCTTAGCTATAAT